AGTAGACGACGCGGCTGATCGAGGCCTACCGTCGGCATTCGTCGTGTCTCGTTGTTTACCGCGGGACAAAAGGGAGCGGGTACACGAGTCGCGTTAATGGCTGACACGCTCCGCGGGCGAAAAGAATCGGATTCTTTCAGGATACCCTGTCGCGTGCGGCGACGACGTTGTTAAGTGCCAACAGAAGCCGCACAAAAGCAACTGGGACAATGGTGTTGGAGGTGACTCCGGGCTCGAGTGGTCGATGCTCGCGAGATTACTCGCGGCGAAGCAGGAAAAGTACTCGCGGCGCTGAACATGACTGCAGAGACGGGGAGAGAACGAGGGAGGAAAAAGGAGAGCGACCGCGCACAGTCGCCCGGAAATATTTCGATTTATTCCGCGTTGGAACGCGTATCGCTGCATACGTTCCGATGGACAAAATTTCGGCGAACGTTTCCGAACGTTCTCGCGAAATAAACTCTATTTAACTGTAGAACGTCCGCGCGCGCGCGCGCGGCAAACATTAATTGCACCGTGTTTATTCATGTAAGTAACGTGCCGTCCCTGTTACGCAACAGGAGCAGTAACTGCCAGACAAAAACAATAGGCATTGTCTCGTTAGAGAAGGCTTAATTAGAATATTTCTATGCTTCATATTTCATGAAGAGAATCATGGAAGCGATTGTGACAGGCCAGAGCCCCGAGCTGCATACGTCGAACTAGGTTTCGTGAACAGCTCGCTCCAAAATTGCAGCGAAAACGTAAGATCCGAAACATTGACAAGGCTCGTTGTCTCGAATTTATTTGCCTCCGCGTGATCTATGTAATTTACAGATACAATCGCCATCGAGTAACGTTCGTTCGAAGCTTCGATCTTCAAAACGTTAACGCCGCAGTTTCGAAAGATGTCACATCGAAATAACAACAAATCATCGAACGCGAGAGGCCCGTCAGCTCGACGCTTCCTTATAATTGAAATTATACTTTCATCGACTGCAATCGACGAAATTAAGCTTGCACCAACTGACAAAGCGTTTCGCCGCAGTTTCGAAAGATGTCACATCGAAATAACAACAAATCATCGAACGCGAGAGGCCCGTCAGCTCGACGCTTCCTTATAATTGAAATTATACTTTCATCGACTGCAATCGACGAAATTAAGCTTGCACCAACTGACAAAGCGTTTCGCCGCAGTTTCGAAAGATGTCACATCGAAATAACAACAAATCATCGAACGCGAGAGGCCCGTCAGCTCGACGCTTCCTTATAATTGAAATTATACTTTCATCGACTGCAATCGACGAAATTAAGCTTGCACCAACTGACAAAGCGTTTCGCCGCAGTTTCGAAAGATGTCACATCGAAATAACAACAAATCATCGAACGCGAGAGGCCCGTCAGCTCGACGCTTCCTTATAATTGAAATTATACTTTCATCGACTGCAATCGACGAAATTAAGCTTGCACCAACTGACAAAGCGTTACGCCGCAGTTTCGAAAGATGTCACATCGAAATAACAACAAATCATCGAACGCGAGAGGCGCGTCAGCTCGAGGCTTCCTTATAATTGAAATTATACTTTCATCGACTGCAATCGACGAAATTAAGCTTGCACCAACTGACAAAGAGTTTCGCCGCAGTTTCGAAAGATGTCACATCGAAATAACAACAAATCATCGAACGCGAGAGGCCCGTCAGCTCGACGCTTCCTTATAATTGAAATTATACTTTCATCGACTGCAATCGACGAAATTAAGCTTGCACCAACTGACAAAGCGTTACGCCGCAGTTTCGAAAGATGTCACATCGAAATAACAACAAATCATCGAACGCGAGAGGCCCGTCAGCTCGACGCTTCCTTATAATTGAAATTATACTTTCATCGACTGCAATCGACGAAATTAAGCTTGCACCAACTGACAAAGAGTTTCGCCGCAGTTTCGAAAGATGTCACATCGAAATAACAACAAATCATCGAACGCGAGAGGCCCGTCAGCTCGACGCTTCCTTATAATTGAAATTATACTTTCATCGACTGCAATCGACGAAATTAAGCTTGCACCAACTGACAAAGCGTTACGCCGCAGTTTCGAAAGATGTCACATCGAAATAACAACAAATCATCGAACGCGAGAGGCGCGTCAACTCGAGGCTTCCTTATAATTGAAATTAAGCTTTCATCGACTGTTCCGTAGCAAAATTCGATGACCCGGGTTGCAGTATGACCCGTTCGGATAATGGAAGCTAGGGTCACCAGGGAATTCGTGGGACGTGCGCACAAAGTGCCTCCGTATTTATCGGCGGTGGTGTGTACGCGGTTTGCGGAATGCATGCGGGTCGATGTTTCGCCGGGTCTACTCTTTACAGGCTGCTGGTATTATTCGTCGCGCGGGGTATCGCTGAATTAACCGTTTTCCCCGTGAATACCAGCCACGGAATGTTTGCACAGGCAACGGCGAGCGTCGTAACGTTGAAATATTCATTCGTCGACGTACACGCGTGACTAATACCGTATTGGAAACCGGCGCGGCGCGGCGCGGCGGTCGTTCGAGGTCGACGATTCGACCGGTTCGATTTCCGAGCTGGTGTACGAGCGCGATAACGCGGCTGCCAATCACCTGGCCGCGAAATCAGTCACCGACGACTCGCGGACTCATCTGGAAGGTACACGGCCTGGAGGCTCTCTGGCGCCCAGGGTGCTCCGAAATGGCCCTCCGAGGGCTAACGCGGCGGTACTTCATGAATTTTTTCGGGTTTTATGGTACCCTATCCCGCGTGAATAATGTCGAATGGATGAAAAATACTCTAGGCTAACTTTTTGGAAGGAAATAATGTAATACAGTAATGTCTCCCTAACTGACGCTCAGATTCTGCACGAAACTGGACAATTTGGGAAGAGGAGATACGATTATTCGAGCCTTCCAACTTGTTTTTATAGTTACCAATTGTCAACAATTATGAAAAACGAGCTACAAGGCTCGAATAAACGCATCTCCTCCTCGCAAATTGTCCATTTTTGTGGACAATCCGAGCGTCAGTTAGGGAGACATTACTGTACAATAATGTCTCCCTAACTGACGCTCGGATTGTGCATAAAAATTGGCAATTTGCGAGGAGGAGATGCGATTATTCGAGCCTTGTAGCTCGTTTTTTTGTAGTTGTTGACACTTCGTAACTATAAAAATGAACCGCATGGATCGAATAATCGTATCTCCTCTTCCTAAATTGTCCATTTTTGTGGACAATCTGAGCGTCAATTAGAGAGACATTACCGTATATGACGAAAGAATGAAATATATGGCAAAAGAATGAAGTATATGCCAAAAGCATGAAACATACGACAAAATAATGTAACAAGTACCAGAAGAATGTATACAACAACCCAATATATCAAAGGATTTCAGTAGATTGCACGAAATACTATTGCAAGAGCATTGCATAACTTTGCGTCGAATTTTCACCCCGTTTGCGATAGGATTCAAAGATCAGATCAAAGCACCATATGCACCTACAATTAAGAGCCCCTATGAAGACCACGTTGCTGGTAAAAGCGTTGTCTATTCGGCCATTGTCGCTTTCAACGGAGCCAAATCGCTGTCGTGCCGCGAGAACAGCGAACATTTGCCCGATTTGCCTCAGAAAATCGAGAGGAAGAATTCAGGTGCCCCGGCTGCTCCCTTTCGATAAAAGCAAACACTCTCGCTTTTAAAGTAAACATCAGCGCGTGCCGGCGAGACACACCGCCGGTGCTGACCCCACGATCGGCGGCAGCCTATTTACAAATAGAGATATCTTAAACCGATGTTCGCCGGTAATCGATACAACGGGCTCGTCCTTGCGATTAGCGACGCTCCCGGTAGCTCCTCCCGGCGGGATTCCATCGGTTCTCGGCGAAACGCGCGGCTACGGGATCCGTGATCGCACTCCCAAGAACCTCTGGCCCTTGTTTCGCTGCCCGTGAACACGCCGGGACCAGGCCGGACCTGCGGCGCGAGTCCAAGGTCGCGAGAGGATTCGCGTGAAACTACGGTCCCGTCGAGAAGTCCGGTCGAGTCGGGTCGTGTCGGCAGAAACTCGTTCCACTCGGTCGCCGAGGCAGAGGCAGAGGCAGAGGCGTTGGTAGCGAGCAGCGGCGAGGTTCGGAACGATCTCAGGCTGGGAACGATCCGCGCGAGCAAACAAACATCTTCCAGGCCGGGCTTCCGAAAATACACGGAGACAAATCGGACCGTTTTCGACTAAATATTTGAGTGTCGGGAACCGATCCCCAGGCCCGGCCGTTTCCAAACAAAGTCCTGGCTCGGCTCGGAACGATCCTTGTTCCACCGTGGAGAAACGTCGCCGATTATTTCGGAGCTCGGTCTCATCGATTTCGCGGTCGACAGCGTTCAAGGCCGCCGGTGGTGGTTTAAATCGAACGTTCGAGGGCTCGGCTCTTTCTGCGTGCTCGATGACAAAGCAGAGGAGAGGAGGACGACTCTCGTCGGCTCTCTCTCTCTTTTATCTCTCTCTCTCTCTCTCTCTCTCTCTCTCTTTCTGTCTCTCTTTCGCTGGGCTCCAGCTCGAAATTACGAGGATCGTGCGTGCGTATACACGCAGCGCGTAGGAGGGAAGGGCGGCCGGCGCGCGAGAGGACGGGAGGAGGAAATCAATGCCACCGTCTGCCGCGGGAGCAGAGAAACTCGTCGTGTATCGGTGAGTTTTCGCCGGTGTCTGTTCTCTGTTGCTCGACGGCCACGGAACAGCGAGAAGTGCGCCAGTGCCGGGTCCTGGCCAGAAAAATCCAGACAGGGAGAGACCCGAGAGAGAACCCGGCAGGATGAACAGAGAAATATGCACCGGCCGAAGCGAGATGGAGAAAGGCGGACAGACAGAGAGAAAGAGAGAGAAAGAGAGATATAGGGAGAAAGAGAGAGAGAGAACGAGATATAGAGACAGAGAAAAAGAGAGAGAGAGAGAGAGAGAGAGAGAGAGAGAGAGAAGAAAGGGCAGAGTCAAGGCTCCGCGGGGTACTCACTCGGCTGCTAGCGTAGCGTAGCCGCCACTGTCTTCTCGGTTCTTCCTTGCGGGAGATTCGCCCCGGAGCAGTGGAACTCGCAAGCGGAAAACCTGGGCAGAAGCTGAAGTCTCCACCGCCTCCTCCGGCCACAGCACGGTCTACGCTCTTCTTCTCCTCCTTCTGCTTGTTCCTTTTCAGGGTTCGCCGGCGGGATCCTCGGTGAAAAACCGGCACTGGTCGCAGAACACGAGGGTCGCCGGGGCAGTCGAAGCACCGGATCGAATCGGGGACCGGGTTCAAAGACCGGGTTTCGGAGAGACCAAGAGAAAGAGGCCTCAATACGCCTCGGACGACACTCTACGCGACACTGCCTCGTACCCAAGACTTTTGCTAGGTGGCCAGGGGATGATGGAGGGGGCGCATCGAACGTACGTACCGAACTAAAGGGGAGGCAACCACCCAACGCTCCGTTCTCGCGGGTGTCTCGAGCCTGACTGACGCACCGGTCTAGCCTGCGGACCGCCCGAACCCCGAGTTTATCGTCTCGTTCTCTCTTCGTCGGCCGGCGTCTCTCCTCGTCGCTCTCGCGACTCGCGACTCGCCGCCGTCTCGCTTCCTCTATCTCTCCCCGGTCTCTCCTCCGGGTTCCTTTTCCCTCCCGGTTCCTTCGGTCACCCCTTCACTCCGACCCCTTCATCGAGTCTCGCTCTTCTCTCCCCGTTTCGCGGCGACCTCCTTCCTTCCACGGATTTTTACTCTCCCCTTGTGTTCTCTGTCCCGCCGCCTTTGCCGACCTCTCTCTCTAATTTTATCTCCTCCACGTCTCCCTCCATAACGCTGCCGCCCCTCTCTCTCTTCACGCCCCCGACTCGCTTGATCGCCCCGTCTCTCTTCCACGATCGCTAACGTCGTCCTGCTTCAGCTCCGCTGCTCCTCCAACGCCCACCACACACGTACAGGGTGGCATCGCCGAGACGGCGGCGCGGCGCTGCCCTTCGCCAGGACCTTCTTCTTCTTCTTCTTCTTCTTCCACGCCGGAATCGCAGGATTCTCGTCTCGTCTCGTTTCTTTCGATTTGTCGCCGGTATACCTGCGGCCTTCCACGCCGAATATAGGCCCACGACGCTCGGCCGGCCACATTTTCTGCCCCGCAACCCGCCCTACGATCCTACGGGAGACCGGGCCGTCGACGTTTCTCTGTTTCTAGTCGGTTCCCTCGGCCCGACGAAATTGCGGATGACTCCGTTTCGGCGCGATGCGATCGATCGCCTACCGGACCCAGCCAGAACACGCCTGCCGCCGCCACCGCCGCCGCCGCCGCCGCCGACGTCGTCGTATTTTTCTAGGCCACGAACCGGTCGTCGTGTTGCGTCATCGAAAATGAGCGACCTTGTCCTCCAAGGAGCCCGCATTTTCGCGAGGAAAAAACCACGGCCCGCGGAAACTGCTCGTTGCGCAACCGTTCACGCTCTTATCGCGTAATCGATATCGCCTGCAACGCGATTTTACCGTTCCCGGCCGCTCGTTAACTCCCATGGTGGTGTGGTAAATCGCGGAAACTCCGTAGTTCCCGTCGTTCGAAATTAGCCGAACGGCCTGTCGTCGCCTTCGCGCTCGTTCCATGCTAATCGCGAAAGTGGTCGAAGCTTCCTTGTAACCGGATATTTTTGGAAAACTCCCGATGGCCCTCGGAAGTGGTGAAACGTGTTGCTCGATTCGGGCTAGGTTCTGCGGCAACGAAACTCCTTTCCTGCCGCTGGATGCGTTAGAGCTTCGAGAAAATCGATCATCCTATCCGTTTTCTAGTTCGATCTTCCTTTCCGTTTACGTGGCTGAAAGAAGATTACTGTAAAATGCTGGAAATGTCGCACGGGTTCTTCTCGTCGCGTGAAACATTAAACACGTTGCTCACCGAACGTCGTTTTTAATTAAAGAATATACAATAATGTCTTTTTAATCGACGCTCAAATTGTCCACAAAAATGGACAATTCGGGGAGAGGAGATACGATTATTTGAGTCTTGCGACTCGATTTTATAGTTACCAATTGTCGACAATTATAAAAAACGAGCTGCAAGGATCGAATAATCGCATCGCCTCCTCGCAAATTGTCCATTTTTGTGGACAATCCGAGCGTCAGTTAGGGAGACATTACTGTACAATAATGTCTCCCTAACTGACGCTCGGAATGTGCATAAAAATGGGCAATTTGGGAAAAGAAAGTACGATGAGTCTTCTTAGATTAGAGTCTTCTAGCTTTTTTATAGTTGTCGACACTTCGTAACTATAAAAATTAATCGCAAGACTCGAATAGTCGTATCCCCTCTTCCCAAATTGTCCATTTTTGTGGCCATTATTGTACAATAATGTCTCCCTAACTGACGCTCGGATTGTGCANGTCGCCTTCGCGCTCGTTCCATGCTAATCGCGAAAGTGGTCGAAGCTTCCTTGTAACCGGATATTTTTGGAAAACTCCCGATGGCCCTCGGAAGTGGTGAAACGTGTTGCTCGATTCGGGCTAGGTTCTGCGGCAACGAAACTCCTTTCCTGCCGCTGGATGCGTTAGAGCTTCGAGAAAATCGATCATCCTATCCGTTTTCTAGTTCGATCTTCCTTTCCGTTTACGTGGCTGAAAGAAGATTACTGTAAAATGCTGGAAATGTCGCACGGGTTCTTCTCGTCGCGTGAAACATTAAACACGTTGCTCACCGAACGTCGTTTTTAATTAAAGAATATACAATAATGTCTTTTTAATCGACGCTCAAATTGTCCACAAAAATGGACAATTCGGGGAGAGGAGATACGATTATTTGAGTCTTGCGACTCGATTTTATAGTTACCAATTGTCGACAATTATAAAAAACGAGCTGCAAGGATCGAATAATCGCATCGCCTCCTCGCAAATTGTCCATTTTTGTGGACAATCCGAGCGTCAGTTAGGGAGACATTACTGTACAATAATGTCTCCCTAACTGACGCTCGGAATGTGCATAAAAATGGGCAATTTGGGAAAAGAAAGTACGATGAGTCTTCTTAGATTAGAGTCTTCTAGCTTTTTTATAGTTGTCGACACTTCGTAACTATAAAAATTAATCGCAAGACTCGAATAGTCGTATCCCCTCTTCCCAAATTGTCCATTTTTGTGGCCATTATTGTACAATAATGTCTCCCTAACTGACGCTCGGATTGTGCACAAAAATGGGCAATTTGGGAAGAGAGAAAATACGATTATTAGAGCCTTCTGGCTGGTTTTTTATAGTTCTTGACACTTCGTAACTATAAAAATGAATCGCAAGACTCGAATAATCGCATCTCCTCTTCGCAAATTGTCCATTTCTGTGGATAATCCGAGCGTCAATTAGGGAGACATTATTGTACCTTCCCACAATCAGTGAACCTTTATTATCCCGAGTTTCTTCTTCACTGATTTTTAAGGAGCGTGGAATTATAGCTGATCGACGAAGATGATGCTTGATTTTAAAATGCCAGAACACGATTAGGAACAGAATTTTTCTATAACTTCATAGGTTTGCTGCGCCTCGGAGATATCATTCCGTGCGCAGAATCGGCGTGATCCTTAAGTAGGTACATTCTCGACACCGTGTACGTGGTCCCGTGTCTCCGAGTCGCTGGGTTATTAATTTTTCGAGCGAAGTACATACTTGTTGAGCGTGCGTTTTCACGCTCGAGGACACTCGACAGGGTTTCCGGGCCCGGAAGATAAATTCGCGAGACGGCGACGGGCCGGCTCGGACACGCCTGTGTTTCCTCCGCGCTTCTATCGGGATCAGCGTCGCCGATTCATCGGCGATTCATCGCTGATTAATCGGAAGCGCGAGATATCGGACGGCGACGTTCGTCTCGATAAGGCGACGACACGCCACGCTTTCGCCTTTTAATCGGGGCCGTTTCGTTTCGTCTCGTCTGAAAAAGCAAAAAAAAAAAATGGAAACGCGGAAGAGACACCCGCGGCAGCGTGCGATCGGACCGTGCAAAATTCGTTCGATGGACTATGAACGATTCGCAACAATTCGACATTCGTGTGTTCGCAGGCGCGTGTTGATGCACGCAAATAAGCGACTAAGACGGAGAAAGCGTCGATGCCTTTCAAGTGCCTCGGCCGAGGCGTTTTGTTGGTGCCCTGTCCGGGAGCCACACACTCGGCTTAATATCATTATGATTCCTATAGTTTCAACGGGCTCGAAACGAAGCGGAGCTGCGACGGAACGGCCGGGGTTGCATAACGCTCTGCCAAATATAAAAGCGGCTGCACAGCGCCGTTAATGGTTTTAACGCTGGAAGCACCGGGCGGCCGCGCGGTTTTTAATGTTGTAGAAGAGAGAAACTAAAACAAGAAAAAGAGACGGGGTGCGTTCGCTTTTATCGCTACGAATTTTATTGAATAACTTCCCATGATCGCTGAACGGACAATCCTGGTAAAATGAGTCACTGTATGCAGTCCTAGCGCCTAAGTGTCGGGTGGGTAGAAAGTAGACTCGCTTGCGTAACGATAGAACATACGTATGTATATTTGGTTCAGATTCTACGCGGCCGGTGTTCTTATCCTCTCTTTTTTATTCCCATTGCGCGCCTCTGTGTGCTGTCGTCTTTTATTTTTCCCTCTTTTTCTTTTTTTTTTACAATCGTAGGATGCTACCGTGCAAACGAGAGGTACGGATAATATCGGTTGCATGCTCTTTCGAAAGGGTCGCGTTCCAGTTGCGTCGCTCGGTTCACTTTCACCTAGCATACAGGCGGCGATCGATACGAATTTCTTGGACGTCTAAGAGGAGTCGTTCCGTGAAACGGCGAGGACGCGATCGTCTATGGTCTACGGGGAGCCGCCAGGTGGAGGACGAGGAGGCAGGGATTAGGCGATCCTTAACAACATAATACGGAGAGCCGCGGACGCGTTGCTTTCCCAGAATATTCGCGAGCTGCTCGTGTGCCCACGTTGAACCCGAGCCAACTGCTGCTCCGGGTGCAGGCCCGGGTGCAGACGTGACCCTGCCTAGTTGCCGACCGGCTGCACCTTCTCCTCGCAGAACTCCTCCACCTCCTCGTTGTCCGCGTTCACCACCTTGATCCGGTCGACGGGCTTCGGTCGCATCAGGATGAACGGCAGCTCCGCGGACAGCTCTCCGCCCAGCGCTCCCAGATACAGCTTGACCTTGACGGCGTAGGAGACCACGATGCCGAAGGACTCGCGCACGTCCGGCGACAACAACAACGTGCTGGAGGCCAGCTCGGCCTCGTCCTTCTTCACTCTTCCGTCGAGAGCGATGCCGCGCCGATTCTTGTTCTTCTCCAGCTCGGGACTGAGGTAGAGTACCTTTTGCAGGTTCGAGCCCGGGTTGATCGGGCAGCCGTCCTGCGTTTCCACCGCGTCGATCACCGTCCTGAACTGGCCGTTCTGGAAGATGACCACGTCGATGCCCTGCTGCACCAACGCCTTGATCTTCTTCACCACTTTGTTGCTGTTGTTCCGCACGCACACGTTCACGGCTATCCTCTCGCCGTGTTGGTAGAGCTGCTTGTCGAGCGTCACCTCCAACTCGAGGTCGCCGGGGCTCAGCAGAAAGTCCTTGCGGACCACGGTGCACGGCTGGCGGCCCTGTTTCGTGGGCGCGTATTGTATCTTCCTGATGCCCATCATCACCGTGCTCCGTTTGTGTGTGATGTCGGTCTCGGTGTCGCCGGAGTAGATCTTCACCACGTAGGTGACGCCGCAAGGCTCGCCTTTCTCGCCCTCGCCTGGCTGCAGGGTCACGCTGGACGGCGCGCTCGGTGGGAACTTGAAGGTGAAAGGTACAGCGTTCGGTCCTAGTTTCCTGAGCAGTCGGTCCTGCAGCTTAGTCAGGTTCTCCTCCGACTTCTGGGGCCCCGGGAATAGCAGCTCTGAGGTTAGATAGAGGTCTTTCTGGAAGTTCAGCCCCATCACCTCGTCCTCCTCCCGGCCGTACCGGAACGAGCAGATCAGTTGACCCCATACTTTCCGGCCGGTGTCCACGTAGTTTTGATCGATCAGGACCACCCCGTCTACCGGCTCGATCCCGGACAAGTAGTCCACGTAGTCCCTCTTGCCCAGGTACAACGAGAGCTTGCCATTCGGCGTGGACTTCTTATACACCTTGAAATTCATCACCATAAAAATGACAAATCCAGTCCGCCGATCGTTCTCTCACTGACCCCGACTGGATCGCGGCAATGGCGTCGTCTTCTTATATATCCGCGGGGTACCAGTGACGTCAGACCCTTCTGGGGCTTCCGAATCCATTCTGCGTCGCGGATAAACGAAACGCCTTTGTTAGCGTCGTTGCTAACCTTTTCAAGTGTTGACTAACTTTGCCTTCTAATCGCGAAGATCACACGCTAAGAACCTGTCTTCGGGTAAGATCGATGATATTCGGGGCTTCTGGATGCCACCTGATCCTTCGTTGTTCGGACTATTCGCGTTAGCTAACCGAACCCGTTTAATGGTAAATGTTTACATGCATTGTTTTCGTTTTGTACCTCTTATTACTGCAGCTTTCGTGATGCAATCGGAAAAATCTAGGATTAACCAGTGCTGCAACATGGCGGCCAAGGACTCGTCCTCTAGTCGTTGATCGTTAATTAGAGGATATATCGTTCGGTAGGAAAGCTACGAATTCTTCTCTGTCGCGTGATAGATTTTGATTCTACATTTTGATGGAGCAGAGACGAGGAAGAGAGGCTTTTGGAATAAAATCTAACATCTAATATTCTAATATAAGGGCTGAGGAAGGTCGTCTACGTTTTAAGTCACTGTAAATCAAAGAACACCTTGTCCTATAAAAGAGCTTTGAATTCTGCTGTGTCCCATGCAGAATTTCCATTTTACGATCAAGGAACAATGGTTTTAAAATGAAATGGGAGTCGATAAGAGTTTCAACATGGAGGTCGAGGGAGATCCTTCACCTTTTTGACTCCAAATTAGGAAATATGTTCCATACAAAATCCTCTGAATTTTTCTAGCTCTCATGCAAAGCAAACTCTTCTAAAAAGAATAATAGGATAAATATACTAATCTATTTAGTTGTAAGACACCGTCCACTGTGCACGTGATCGCGGAGAAAGAACGTGTTACCATCAGCTGATATCGTAGCACCGGATAAATCAGAAAACCCGTTCCAAACCTATCGCGTTCTGTCTATACGACCACGTAACCAATGGTTATGCGTTCGTGTTCTACTCGTACACTTTGGTTCCTTCTCCTTCTAGAATTTTTGAAACACAGCAACTAGTTTCGGTAGACGCAAGTGGGCCCGTTCGAAATTGAAGATGTCAGAAAATGAGGACACTAAGATTAATGCTGTGAGTGAGATTCTGTGTGGTGCAGAATTTTTTCTATCGCCTTGTAGCACTGAACGTAAATTTGTGGGAAATTTCGTTTTCCATGACTCAAAAATATTCGAGTCTCTGTCACACCTGCCTTATTAATAACGTTTCTTATAAATAGATTCGCCTGAAGAAAAATGTAACAATGAGATAAGAGGATTTCCATGCTTATTTTAGTATTTTTAATTACAGATGCAGCCAATGCCTTTGGTAATACCTCCTGGTTCACCCAAGAAACCAGTGAAATCAACCGCTGTCGTGAAATATTCTGTTGTACAAACACCAGCTACTTATGCTCAACTGCAATGCAACACGGACTTGAATCTACCACCTAGCAACTGGTTGAGCAGTTCAGCCGAAAGCTACGGGCTGCAGAGTGTATGGTCACAGACCACCGGGTTTTCTAGCTTTCGTATGGCTCACATGTTTCCAGACTGTGTTGGGGAGGTTGATGTTGTGTCCGATGCCGAAAACATAAAGAAACTATTGAAACTGCCTTATAATCACGGTGTGATATCAATGATGGTTCACAGAGTAGAGAACACGCTACTGTTAGATGATTTTGATATCCATAAATATTTATTGAGACAAGCGGAGAGTGACTGGGAGTGGTTGAAAAAGTTTTTCTATGAACACATATTCCAGAATCTTGGAGACAAAGAGAAGTCTCTGTTTCGTAAAACAAATAACAGGAACACCTTGCAGCAAAGAAATTTGGTATCCAAATTTCTGTATCACTCTATAGTAGTAGCAGATAACAAGGAGCAGAATGCTAAACCGCAGTTGCCTGTGAAACCACTGGAACCATGTTTACCAGAACCCTCTCAGGAAGAAAAAATGCCAGACCCTAATTACAATCACAATTTTGCTAGAAACATTGTTTGGACCTTCGAGAACATACAGATGCTCATTGGTACAGATATGCCGATATTTGGGGGGCAGACTCATCCATGTATAAGTCTGAGATTGAGGGACATGACTAAACCCATTAATGTTCTGACTGGCATAGACTACTGGTTGGACAATTTAATGTGCAATGTCCCAGAAGTGGTGATGTGCTATCACCTGCATGGTATCGTGCAGAAATATGAATTAATAAAAACAGAAGACTTACCCAATTTGGATCACTCCAAGTTCAGTCCTAAAGTAATCAGAGATGTTGCTCAGAATATTTTAAGTTTCCTGAAAAATAATGCCACCAAGGCTGGTCATACGTATTGGTTATTTAAAGGTGAGATCCCTAAACTATATGCTAAATAATTGCCATCACTGCATTTTCTAATTTTTTTTATGTACCACAGGCAAGGATGATGACGTTGTAAAATTGTATGATTTAACATCTTTGTGTAACGATGTATCAGACGAAAAGGGTCAAAATCCCTTCACTGTGCCTGTAGCTATGTTGTTATATAGGGTGGCTCGCAACATGAAGTACTCTTCAGACTACCACAGACAACAGGGCACTATCAGAATGCTCCTAAAAAATTGTGTACAACTGTTGACTAAAGAAAAGTATCCTCAGATAGTAACATCCGCTCATTTTATGCTGTCTGATCTGTATGTCCCATCGGACACTGATCCTGCTAGTCCAGGACTTTCTGATCAGAGCGACGAGGACGATACGCAAAGCGAGTCGAGCACAAATCACGATAATGAGAAAGATGAAGAGGAAATAGAAAATGAAGAGACTGCTATAAAATCCTTAACATTAGCCAACAGTGAGTAAAATATTTTCCTGGTCTATGGGATCATGTTGCTCAGAATTGTTCGTGTAAATTAATTTTCTAAATGTATCTTCTAGTCAAAGAGCACAGAGACTCGGATGAACCCAAATACAAGCCGCCACCAATTTCTGGGACAGTGGAAGAAAGATGTCTGGCAGCCTTGGAACATGTCTGTCAAGGTCTCGAGTGCCTACATTATTTCCCAACCGAAGAGTCCTCTGAAGAAGAGCGTACAAAGGCAGAGCAAGAGGAGAAGAAGAGGAAGGAGTATGAAGAGACCCACCTGAACTTGGCTAAACCTTTCCAAGCAATACCAATGACCTATTCCCCCCTGAAGGACGAAAAGAAGGGATCACACTCCGGAGAAAGTTCGTTAACTAGTAGCCCTAATCATAAGAAGAACAGGAAGAAAAACAGAAAGTCAGACAAAATTGTATTGAAAGAGGAACCTGTCGAGAACGTAGCTAAAGCTTTGCAGTGCAAGGTCAAAGTCGATACGCTTCCTACCTGGCAAGCTCCTAAGAAGAGCGACAACATAAGTTGGAACGCACACTTGAAAACATTGTTGTACGAGAAAGCTTCATTGATCTTCGCTGTATTAGCTGAGAACGAATACGTCAATAAGAATTACGGGGCTTCTCTGAGGTATATGCTAGCGGTTCTGCGTTGTCAGAAAATTTTGGAGCTCTTCTGTGGAATCATAAACTGCAAATCTATCAGCTATCTGTTAGGTCGCGCTGGGGACTGTTGCTTCATGACTGTGCAGGATTGGTGTAACATAGAAAAGCACAGAAGCGACTACGAGATGAAGAACGAGGCTGAAGAGAAGATCGTGGAGGAGATCTGCAAGGTGGAGGACCTGGACTCGAGTGAGTTCTCGAATACTTGGATCCTCAAACCAGTGTGATTGAAGCTAATAGAAGTTTAATTTTTTATTTCAGGCGATGCTAAACTACTGCCACAACATTTACAGAGTCTAGAATCTACTTTAGTAGCATCCTATAAATGTTATGAGAAAGCCTTATTATTGGAACCCTCAGAAATTGACAGAAATAATCTTTTAAGACGATTAGGCAACATCCACAACGAGCTGGGGGTTCTTTACATGAATCAGGGTGGAAGTAAATGTTTAAGCCAAAATTACCAAGTCAGAGAACGTTATGAGAGGAACCGTTATAATTTGATTCTTTTTCCAGCCCGGTATCAGCAAGAAAGTATAACGGAGGAAACGTCAGGTCTCTCTAACAATGAAGTATCAACGTTACTGACTCGTTCCCTAAATCATTTGGAAGCAGGAGTCAAGGCATTCGAGACAGTTCACGACGAAGCAAATTTAGCGCTGTTGCACTCGAATACTGGAAGACTTATGCGACTCTGTGCACACATGCACGTGAAGCAGAACGCCGAGGAACGGAATTTTTATAATAAAGCCCTGGCGAGCTATCAGAAAGCACTGCAAGTCCTAGGAACTAAGAAGACGAACCCTGCGATCTGGGACACGGTCACTTGGGATTTGTCTACCACGTTATTTACCATGGCTACATTGTTGCAAGACTATCCCGTCACTGGCTGCAAGGTACTGCTTTCATATTCAATTGAATTCAGTGATGTAATTGCTATCTACTGTGGCCATTGTTCTAGACTGAAGAGGAGCTTGAAAGGGAAGTGGTCGATATACTACAAAAGGCTTTGAAACACTGTGATACGGAAACGTCAGGACCACGGCAGCCTGTTTACCAATTCCGTGCAGCTACTATTCAGCACCGTCTTGCTTCTTTGTATCATCGTGTATACAGAGAGTTTGAGCCAGACGCAGACAACATGAAGAGAAAAACAAGCTTGCAATTATGCAAGCTGTACTACGAGAAGGCGGGAAAGCTCTTACTTGCTTTGGAGCAAACTACAGAATTCCTGACGGTTCAGTTGGAACGGGTTGCATTGGCTGAACACCAAGCACGTTGTAGGTTCATCTTCTAAAAGTAGTTTTAATCCTATCTCGAGTCGTGTTCTTATTGTACTTTGTCGCAGGTGCTACAAGCTTTAATGGAAAACTGAAGGCGTACCAAAATGGTCTTGATCTGATATTACACTGCAGACCCATTGTGGACATATTGTGTGAGAGGAACAGCTCCCAGAAACAGAAGAGCGAAAGTACAAATGCTATCAATCCAAAGAAGGGGAAAGAAACCTCAGAGGGCAAAGGTAACGATGATCAGAAGCTGCTGGAAGATGAAGAGAACTTGGTGGTGCTGCTCGAGCAAAGACTACAGTTTATCCTAAGATCTCTGACCAAACTATCCGTCACGAAAAATAACAATAGTAGTAAAAAAGAGTATGTACATTGTGGTTCCTTAAATGTAATCTATACGAACACGATCTGATCATTTTTTGTTCTCTTAAATATTACAGGTGTGAATCACTGGCGAATTTGTACAAACAGTGTTACAGTCGGACATTAAGACCAGTCTCAATGACTGGTTTCACGTTAATTGAACACGTTGCACAACTGATGCGGGATTTGGAGAAAATGTTACCGTCTACAGAGTGTTGAATAATTGTACTTTTGTAAATATATATATGTATAAATATTTATCATATCTGTGCCAGATCGAAGACTTCAAGCGCCAAGTCTCGACCAACGAATATGATTCCTTCCCATGATTGGTTTTTTCAATCTTTTGACATGTTCTTATGCCGCTATTGACGCTGGTCGTTAACAAGGAGAACATTCATTAATTCATTACGACACCTCGCGATGTGGAGGACATTTTTTTATTCTACTGTGTAAATAGTCAGATCGAAGCTTTTATTTATGTATAATATTAATATGATTTGTAAAACGGAGAAATAAATTACTGCTACAACATCTTCGAATACTTCCTCGGGCATCGGAGAAATAAATAAAAAATTTTCATACTTTTTACAATACAATCTACTCTGGAATTTTATTATTAAAAAATTCTACTGTCCGTAAAACAAAAAGGGATACGGTGTGATCAAGTCAATAAATAACAAACTTAATAAATCTATAATATGTTAGTGTTATTAAGTTACTTACGAGTGAAATGGCCGTTACAAGAATCATTGCACGAAACTTTGTACTCCAATTAAACAATATTTGGTACTTCCCATATCGTTTAGATGACAATAGTTGATATATGCTAGTGCATGCTTTCTTGATATACAGGGTGTTCCACAATTATTTTAACAGCCGAGAATGAGGGGTAGCTGAGGTCATTTGAAGTAACTTTTTCCTTTGCGAAAATGCAATCTGCGGTTTTGTTTACGAGTTATTAACGGAAAACACTAACCAATGAGAGGTGATGGCGCGAAGTTCGAAAGCCCGCAGCAGATGGTCGGGACGGACTCGAGCCGCGTTCGAACTATTGAACAAATCACGAAGCGAGAACTTTCCGGATTTTTTTTTACTACGTTATGTCAAGGTCATGTCGAGGTTATGTCAAGGTCGTGTCAAGGTTATTTCAAGGTCATGTCAAGGTTATCATATGAAATTTTTAAGCAAAGCTAATTTAATAAATAATAATCGTGTTAAAGGACGTAAGGGATATGTTTGTTAGAGAAATATAAAGANTCGTGTTAAAGGACGTAAGGGATATGTTTGTTAGAGAAATATAAAGAATATTATCAATAACCTTGACATAACCTTGATATTAACCTTCATATAACCTTGATATAACCTTGATGTGTCATGGTTATGTCAAGGTTATTGATAATATTCTTCATATTTCTCTAACAAACATATCCCTTACGTCCTTTAACACGATTATTATTTATTAAATTAGCTTTGCGAATCATTCGTTGAACTGTGTTCGGACACGGAATTATTTAAATTAATATATCATTTACGTACTTTGTTAATCTTCACTGTACACCTTGCTTAAAAATTTCATATGTTACACACAAGGTGTCATGCATACTAGAAAATTAAAACGGCCGTCACGGTAAATTACTTACTATTTCGGGTCCGAAAAATTAGTAAATATTCTTCAGACGAAAATCCGGAAAGTTCTCGCTTCGTGATTTGTTCAATACTTCGAA